CCGCCGCCGCCGCCACCGCCGTCGTGCCGCGGGTCGACGGCGGGCGGCAGCACCGGCACCTGGGCCTCTGGCTGTTGCTGTGGCTGGAACTGCTGTGTGTGCAGCATCGGCTGCTGCTGCTGCTGCTGGTACACGACGCCGGGGACGGTCGCCATGGCCGTCATCTCGCCGGCTTGGTCCGCCAGGCCGACGACGATGCTTTCCTACGATCGGGAGGCTGAAAAAAAGGGGAAGAGCGACACAAACTTGACTCTATTGTTCTTTTCTGTCGCAAACAGTAGATAAGCTCGTGCAAGCGAGGGGGGTTGGCAGCCCCTCTCCCCTCCCCCAGCCAAGGCGGGTGTGCCCGTCATTTTAAACCACCCGCCAGCCGTCGCACAAGGCTGCCTCCTCCCAAACCCAGCAGGTGCACGATGCTCCTCCCTTCATGCGGCCTCTTTGGCGCCCAACCCAGGTCCCGTAGCTGTGCCGACTAGGCCCGATGCGGCCTCGCGAGGGCGTCAATACTTGTGTCTAGACCGCACAAACCACGCCACTGCCCGGAGGCGGGGTGACATGGCGCGCTGCGGCTGAAGATTACATCCACCCACCCACCGCAGGCCTTCAGCCCCGAGAACTCTGGCGCCAGAAATGTGGCGCCAGAAATGTGGCGCCAGAAATGTGGCGCCTTTCAGCCTGTCTCGCATCCCGAACCTCACTGATGGTTATGTTCCTCTATTGGTTTCTTGTTATCTATTGCCTTAGGTTGGCGGGAGATGGAATGCCCTGTGTGACATTGCCACCCGTAGTACAAAACACACCAACTTATAATGAGGTGACAGTTCGTTGTTACCGAAACCGAAAGCTGGCAGAAAGTGATCAAGAAAAAAAAGTAGCTATCCAAACACATACATCATTACATCTTAGCCCAAGGCTTTCACAGGACAAAATCACAGAGCCAGGCCCTTGGCACCGCGAGTCCAGCGGTACAGGCTGAGCGCCCGCCGCCGCGCCTTGTGCTCCTCCCATTCGGTGGGGCTCGATCCCCTAACGCTGTACAGTGTGCTTCGGAGAACCTTCCTGAAGTTCTTCTGGAACTCGGTCGAGAGCGTGACGACGCAGACCTCGTGCGCCCGCACAATCGTCTCGCACGCCTGCTCGACCGATTGGTTGGGCCCGCCGAGCTGGGGCATGCGGTCCGCAAACAGCAGCAGTATGAAAGACCCGTGCAGCAGGTATATGCCAAAGAGGTACGGCATAAACGTCAGCTCCGGGTCATGCCGCAGGATGCGACTGACGGCCTGCGAGGCCGAGATGGCGTGCGTCGCGCAGTCGTTGAAGCGTGTCGACGTGATCCAGTCGTCGTCGTCGTCCAGCATCGAGATGGCGTCCCATTTTCCGTGTAGCAGCACGTGGAGGACGTGGAGGATGTGAGTGCTGTATGCCAACACGAGCTGCAGCCTCGATCGGTCGCGCGCTGTTGCGGGGCGGGTAGAGTTGTGAGTCTTGTGTGGCTGCGGACGCCGCTGTAAAGGAGACGTGCTGCCGCTGCCGCTGCCGCCCCCGCCGTTGCCCACGGCCGCCCCGACCGACGATGCTGCGGGCGCGATAGAGCCGTGCCCTCCCGTTCCGCTACCGCCGCCAGCCCCGACGCTCCCTCCCCTCGCCGTGCTACCGCTACTATGCCCGTTCCCGTTTCCGTTCCCGCCGTGTGTAGACGTCGATGAGGCTGCTCCTGCCACCCCGCCCGTGACCAAGTCCTTGATGTGCGGCCCAGGGGTCCCACCGATTGGGGCGGGCGACAGCGGAGCTATGGTGATGCTACCGACCCTTCCAGCGCCGACATCATCGCCACCGGCAGCGGCAGAGTTGGCCCTGTAGTCGTGATGCACCGGATGGTGTGCTTCCGCAGTACCGGCCGTCCCCGTCGTTGCCGCCGAGGATGAGTGTTCAGCCTCAAGCGCCATACGCTCCAGGCTCCGCTCGCAAGCTGCCAGTCGTCCGCCGATAAGGGCGACAGCTCCAGAATCGTCCAGCCCGCCGAGGCGCGGGTGCAGGCGGCGGTGGTGCACCTCGATAATGTCCCCCAGGGTGGCCATGAGGGGCAAAAAGTACTCGAAAAAGCCCGTCCCCGTCACCACACCTGGTGGCCCAAGCACGCGCGCGGGCATGTCAGTCGTTGACGAGACGGCGTCAAGGTCTTCCCAGACGCCCTCGGGCAGGGGAGCATAAACTTGACAGTACGAATCCGGGATGGATAGCACGCTGTTGAACGAAAGCGACAGGTGGCGGTCAAGGCAGTAGACGAGCCAGAAGACGCGGCGGCGCTCCTCACATGCTTCCTGTCCTGCCAGCGTGTGCACGTCCTGATCGCGGCGGCACGAGCAGAGAGGGTTGGCGCAAGGCGAAATCGACGCCGAGCAGCGGTCGTCCTCGCGGTGCAGGCCAAGCGCTAGAGTGAGGCGAATGGCCTTGGACCACCACTTGAAGCAGTCCGACTTGAAGTCACCCCCTGAGACCGCGATAGACAGCAGCACCAGAGTCAAGACATCGTCCACCAGGCCCGCGGGCTCGTTCGTCGCCGTCGTCTCGGGCTGATGGGCACCAATCCCTCCTACGCCACCGCCGTGCATGTTGCGGATGTAGGCTGCATAGTGGTTCTGCGACTGGTCGTTCTCCACGCGAAGGCCGCCTGTTTGTATTATAACCTCCGTGTCAGCAGCGGCCACTCCTGATCTGAACAGCCTCGGCATTGCTTTTTCCGGGTACCCGCAACTCACCGTGTATCCTCCGCCACCGATCCGGGTCCCTTGCGGATATCAGCGAGGTCGACAGCTCATATAGCGCATTGGTGATCTTGCTGCGAGACCCAGGTACATGCAGCAGGACAATGTCGGCCGTCTGAGCGGCACACCACAGCATCGTCGCCAGGAGGGCCGGGGTCGTCGGGCGAGGCCGAGTCGGGTGCAGCAGCGAGCGTTTGCGGAAGATTCGTGTCAAAATGTAGGGGCTCGCGCAGCGGAAGAGCGAGCTTCCTGGTTCTGTCAAGTACACGTCAAGCAGGTCGCACGCGACGCTGGCAGGTATGATGTTGCCCAAATATGGGAGCACTGGTGCGAGGCAGGCGTACCGGCAGTCGGCGCTCGGCGCTCGGTACAAGGAAGATACGCGCTGTATGTCAGGGAACAGTGGCGGCGTCGAAGTCGATGCCATGCCGCCAGCCGCACCACCCCCGAGACTGCCGCTTCCACCGGGCTCGGCCGCCCCGACTGTGCTGTTACCGGGGCCGACGCCACCGGTTACCGAGGTTGCACTCGTGCTGAAGGATCCGCGACTGTGCCCATGCCCGGGTGTCCTGCCTATGATACCACCGCTACTACCCTGGCCGCTAAACGAGACTCCTCGGGGTTGCGCATGGGGAGAGAGGCCGACTCCCCCGCTGACGCTCCCGGCACCGTGATCTGGCGAAGGGTACCCGGCACTTTCGTCGGACGGCGCCGCGTCAGTCCCTCCACCACCAGGCCCGCCAGCCGTGTGCTGACTACCCGCTACCGAAGGCACTCGACCTCCAGGTGGGCTGGTCCCCTCATGCTGTGGCCCTCCGGCCCTAGCAAGGGCGGTGGTGGCCGACTGGTGGTGGTGGTGGTGGTGGTGTGCTGAGGACATGCCTACTGCCGCTGTTCCAGGGTGATCCATCACGGCCGTCGAGTCGAGCAGCGATGCCAGTTGCATATGAGCATGGACGCTAGTTCCGTAGCTACCCCCGCTAGCGCTAACTGCAGTGCTTGGTGAGTGCAGAGATGGGAGATAGGCGGGGATGCTAGGATGTACTGTGGGCGGAGAGGCCGCGGTATTGGGACCGGCAGGCACAGTCAAGATACCAGGCAGCACGGTCGTTGAGGTGGAAACGGCTGGATGGTGGTGGTGGTGGTGCTGTTGGTGGTACTGTTGCTGCGGTCCGGCGAGGGTGAGGCCGCCTCCGTCTCGCGATTCTGGCTGGGCTGTGGTGGTAATGCCGTGGCTACCGTTGCTGCCATGTACAGGAGGCCGTGGGACTGCAGCCGAGTCGCTGTAGCTATTGCCATGTCTTATAAAAAAAGATGATGGCCTGGCCTCGCCGCTGGCCGTGCTGGGTGGTGACAGGACTTGGCCGTGGAAGGCTGGGCCGCCACCACCAGAGGGTGAGGAGACGGACGGAGAGGGAGTGCTTCCGGGGCCGCCGCCGTGATGGCTTGCGTAGTGCGTGGTGGGAGCGTGGCCGTTGCTGCTACCGAAGCTAGCACGATGGCTATGGTGCCGCCACTGCTGCTGGCTCCCGTCGCCGTGTGCGCCACTGCTACTGCGGCGCGTGTGACAGCTCTCCTTGGAGCTCGTATTATCCATTGCCTGACTGGGGTCAGGCCGGGTCGAGTCACCGCTGGCGCCACTCATGGAGATGGGCGCCCGCCCGCGCTTCTTGATCTCGCGGTTGTAGCGACATGCGTAGCCATAGTCTACAGAAGGCGATGATAACAAATAAGCTCTGTTAGACGAGTACGACCACCACGAGAGTCCAAGACATAAAAGATGGATATGCGGCGATGGGATACAATTATACGACGAAAATAACGCATCATGTATAGCCAGGGACCCGCACAGGAGACAGCATACCTTCACATCGTCGACTAGAGTTCGACCAAGACGAGGGGGCAGTCTCGGTCAGCGATCAAGTCGTCTTTCCACGTTTGATATTCGGGCAACAACTAGGGGCCCAAAAGCTTGCGGCACGGCTGCACATCGAGATGGCGCGCACGAGACACCATAAAAGGGTCATGAAAGACAAAGAGACGAGTTGCAGCAGCCGTTGCAGCAGCCGTTGGCAGCGGGTGCGTGCGGGGTCGGGAGTCCGGGGCTGAGGAAAAGGAAGGGGTATAACTAGGGTATGATTAGGATGAACGTACCACGGGCATTCGCCGTTGCAGCGTGTGCGCGAGGCCGAGCACTTGTCGCAGGCCCGCCGCGTGCGCTTTCGAGGCCGGGCGTGTTCCGACAGCTCCTCGCCGATCGCCCCGTCAACCATGACTGGCGAGTCCACTGCCATCTCGTCCGTGGCAGTCGCGCGGCTGTCGATTTCCATGGTCGCTGTAATCACGGGGGGGCCAACGGGCAGGGTCAACAAGGTGGAGGGCGGCTTCTAGCTTCGGCTCTTTGCGCCTATGCTGTCGCACGTTTCCAGATGTTTCCTGTCCCGCCTTGATTGGATAGGGGAGGCGAACAGGCGCGGGCGGCTCGAGTGGGTTTGGCAGGTGCAGAGGCGGAAAGGCTCCTGCGTGCGGAAGGTGTCGTCGGGCGCGTGCGTGTCTTTGTGCTGCGAATGCTGTGCAAGTGCCGTGTGTCGTGCGCTGTCTCTGCGTCCGCTGAAAACGCCTCGGCTGATCTTTCGCTCTTCCCTCCTTTTTTGCCGCCCGAAACCTGAGGGCGGGCTGACAAGGTGCTTCTCCGCCGTCCTTCCTTTCCGCAAGCCCGCCTGTGCTGTGATCGCCCGGCGCAGGCGTGGATGCTGTTTCGAAACCTTTTGCCTTTGTCCCTCTTCTGCTCAACTCTTCGCCTTGCCCGCCACGTGGCGATTTGGCCTGCCGGACGGTGCTCACCGTTCGGTCGAACGGGCGCACCTTGGAAGCGGAGGCCTATCTACCGAGGATTACGACTATGATTACTATCACGTCCCGCCAGCCAGCCAGCTCCAGAAAAGCTCGACCGATCGGGGAGCAGGCATTGGGCGGTGCGCGCAGTCGAGAGAGTAGGTTGTGCTGAACGACAGCGTGAGGAGGGGAGGAGAAAAGCGACGGCAGGCGACGGCAGGCTGACCAAGGGGATGAGAATCCGTCATAAAGGGATGGAAAATGCCAAGCGAGGCAGAACGGTAGAACGGCAGTCACGATCAAGGTCTCGCTCAGCAGGAGCGGCCGTTCCCCTTTTCGGGACTTTTTAGCAAGGATCAACTGCAGCAGCACCTGCAGCAGCACGAGCCCTGGTAGCTTTTGCCTCATCTGCGACTTCCCTCTCCGTCCCCATTTTGCGACAAGCTCCCCAAAAGAGGAGAATCTGGGGACCGGGGTTGACGCGGCCTTGGCAATTTCCTTTTCGTTACTCCCCCGCACTTTCTCAAAACAGCTAGCAGAACCCACGTGAGTACAGTAGTGGACGTCTGACCGAGTAAATGCAAGATAAAAAGAGCAAGAAAACCCCAGATCAAGAAAACCCAGATCAAGAAAAACAAAAGCCCCAAGACAGATCAATCAAGCCAACAGCACTCAAGCCCAAACACACTCCAAGAGCGCCACTGAACAAACCCGCCAATCCCAGGGCTAGATGACACCCCCAGACCCAGGTCCAACTTGGCTGGTTAAAGCTGGGGGGAAATACGGCCCCAGCGCCTGGGTTGCAGGCAAACCGGGGCTGTGGGAACTTAAAAGGACGATAAGGAGAAAGAGTTGACTCGGAGACCTCTGCTTCCAAATCTTTGTGCCCAATGTGTTGACCACGACTGCCCGGACATGCAGACCGATGCAGTCCCCCATTCCCCTCACGACCTCGCAGCACCCCCCGCCAGACCCGCCCTTCTGGACTGTGACACAACAGCATGAATGCTACCCATATCTGTCATAACCTGACGAAAGATCGCATGGCCTAGTCGCCACGTGTGGAGGGGAGAACAAACAAGGGAGAAAAAGGACTAGCCGGCCATCCTGAAACAGTCTTTTTTTTTTCTCCCCCTCCTGTTCGGTACCTACGGGGTAGGCTGGCAGGGTATGTAAGCTAAATAACGGGGGGACCGACATAGCACCCAACCGATATTGCGTGCCAGCAAGCAGCAGCTGCCAATGCCTGCAGGTCCATATATAAGCTTCCTGCTAGCGCCTCGCATCTGTCGGGTCTGGGGGTGAGGGCAGGATGTCCCTCCTCGCGAGTCAGCCCGGGCCCTGCGAGCAGCAACCTTTTGACGGCCGGCACGTCAGCGCATTCTAGCTTCGAGGGAAGAACGGGGAGCCGGTGTCAACGCATAGCTTAACAGAGCGGCAGCGCCAGGAAGGGACAGCAATGCGAGTGTGCTGGAGGAGGGGGAAGATGAGAGAGCGAGTGGGAATGAAGAAATAATCGAGGCCTCTCAGTCAGCTGCGAAAAGGTAACGTGAGCTCTCGGACATGCACTTCCCCCCGGCCCGGCGCAGTCAGCACGCAGAATCCTTCTTGGGGCCGCCATGGAAAGTTCCGTCCGCTGTGGGTGAGCAGCACAAGACGGGGCGAGCGCACACACACTGGCTCGCGCCCGCGGGCGGTTTTCGGACCGCTGGCCGGAACCATGGGACCTCTGGCCTGGCGTGCGCGCTGGCAATGATGCCTTAATCCCTTCCATTTCCGCTCCGTCTATGGTTGCAGCCATCGACGGCCCGATGGTGATGTTGAACGGGCAAAGAGGACTTGGGTAATACCGGCATGATGCCTGCTGGCTCTCCCACCGCTGAGAGATAGTGGCGATGTTTGTCAGTGAGCAGTAGTGTGGACATTGGATACCATCATGATCACGGATGCTCTCGTACGAAATCACAATCGGTTGAATGCCGCTGGTTTCTATATGCTGATATACATGAAAAAAAAAGCAACAACCATTGGTAATTATTATACTCCCCCGCCGCTTCCTGGTGGTATGCCATCAAGTGGACCCCAACTCCCTCAACCCGAGTCCCCCATCGCCACACCCAAGAACCTGTTTCTGACTGTCCTCACTTACAGGCCACTGTCGATCTGCAGCGGCACGTTGGTCTGGGTGTAGGCGGCCCAGTCGCGGCACGTCTGGGCGACGCTGAGCGGGATCTGGAACTCCTTGATCTCGTCGGGCTGGACGAGGAAGGTGGAGAAGAAGCCGCCCGAGGCGTGCCAGGCGATGTGGCAGTGGAACGGCCAGGCGCCGGCGTTGTCCGACTCGAACTGCAGCACCAGGTAGCCGCCGCCGCGGATCTGCTGCACGTCGCGGCGCATGGGGTTCTGCGCGTTGACGACGGTGGTGCCGTCCCACTGGCCGACGCCCTCGGCCAGAACCTGGAAGTTGGCGCCGTGGAGGTGCATCGGGTGCGAGGCGGGCGTCTTGTTGACGACGACCATGCGGATCGACGTGTTGCGGCCGACGTTGTGCACGTTCCACTCGGCCGGGAAGCTGGTGTTGCCCAGGTTGGCGAGCAGGAGCGGGGGCGCGTTCATGTTGACGCGGGCGCTGACGCCGTCGAACTTCCACAGCGTCACGTTGGAGGCGTTGCGGAAGAGCTCGACGTTGTACGTGTGGTCGTAGCTGGGGTTGTAGGCCGGGATGGGGAAGAGCGGCTCCGTGAGGGCGAGGTCGTCGTTGGCGCACGTGCCCGGGTCGGCCACGTCCCAGGGCGTGCTCGTCGGGTCCGCGCCCGTGTCCTCGTCGTAGTAGATGGCGGCCACGGCGAGGGGCTGGCGCGCGAGCGTGCAGCTGGTCAGGTTGCTGCGCATCCAGTAGGCGCTCTTGGACGCGCCCGCGTCGGCCTTGACGATGACGTCGACGCGCTGGCCGACGCCGAGAGTCACCACCTTCGCGTCGTAGGGCTTGATGGGCACAAAGTCGTTGGCGATGACGGTCATGGTGTGCTGGTCGATGGAGAAGCGCTGCACGCCGTCGGCGCCCGAGTTGATGAGGCGTATGCGGTGCGTCTTGCCCGTCTGGAACTTGAACTTGGAGATGCCGGCGTTGGAGGTGCACTTGGTGTTGTCGCCCGCGGCCTTCTTGGTGCAGTCGAAGTTGTTCTTGCCGTTGATCAGGTTGTTGTCCGAGAAGACGCGGGGGCTGCCGTTGGGTGCGAGCATCTCCTCGATGATCTGGAGATATCCCTTGTGGTACCAATCTGCAGGGTAGAAATGGCAGATTAGTATTCCGTCACGCCATGGTGAATCGAACATCAACCATTCACCAAGTATTCATCGACTTACCAGTGAGCATAACCGGGCCGAGATCAACGTCGTAGCCGAGACCCTCGGGGCCGTAGATGACCATGGGACCAAAGATGCCGCCAGAGTACTGGGCCGAGAAGTGCGAGTGGTACCACGAGGTGCCGTACATGTCGGCACGGAACTGGTAGGTGTACGACTTTTGAGGGGCGATGGCGCACTGGGAGACGCCGGGCACGCCGTCCTCCCAGGGGGTGCCGCGCTGCAGGAGGCCGTGCCAGTGGATGGCGGTGCCCTCCTCGGGGCCCGTGATGTTGTTGTGGACCGTGACCTGGATTGTGTCGCCCCAGTTGGCCTCGATGGTCGGGCCCGGGAAGGCGCCGTTGACCAGGAGCGCGGGGACCTCGTACCCGTCGGGCGCGATGGTGGCACGGCTCAGCGTGAAGTCGTAGGACCGGATGACGCCCGTGGTGGGGCAGCCATGGTAGGGGTTGGTGCCCACGATGGTCTTGTCTCCCCAGGGGCGGCCGTGGGGGAGGGGGTTGTTGCTCAGGAAGACTGGCAGGAGGGGCGCGAGGAACGTTCCAAGACGGGATTTTCTAGTGCATGTTAGCATGGGACGTTCCGACGGTCTGGCCTTTCAATGGGGGGGAAACCTACCCGTTGGTCTTCTCCTGTGTGAGCTTGCAGATGGTCTTGTAGACAGACTTGGAGCCGCCCTGCACCCTGCTCCTGAACGAGTCGAGAAAAGACATTGTAGCGAATGTGGGGGGTTATTAAGGGATAAGCACTTCTGTCACGAGGTGTCCCGGTATATAAAAGAGTGTCGGTATAACGAAAGGAAAAGCCTCCGAACGTTTCCACAGGTCAAAAAATGCTGCCCACTGAGGCGAAGCCAAAGACCATGGTGTAGACAAAGTCGAGAGGGAGAGTAAACACAGGGAAAGGGAGGCTTTTATATCACCGAGACTGACCACCTCCTCGGCCATGCTCCAACGAACCTGTCAGCCCGCCTTCCGTGTTCCTTTTCCCCCCAGCCGGCGCCTGCACATGCAGGGAATCGGTAGCCTCTAGGAAGTCCCGTTTTGGGGTAGTGAGAGGAGGGCAATGCAGAGGATAGGAACTGCATCTTGCCCCAAAAGGGAACTCAATGTTAGCCACCTTCTCCGCTCGTGTGGGCAGTCCTCACGGACCACCGGGATGCGTATGCAACCACGCGAGGCGTTTGCCAACCCTTGGCGGCATGAAGCTACCTAGGCTGTAAAAAAGAAAGGAATAAAAAGGGAACAAAAAAATGCAGGTGCCTGCCTCAGTTCCATCCCGAGCCTCACAAATTGGCTGAACCCCCAGCACACCCCCATCCCTGCAGGGCCCGGGCGCTTGTCCGGCCGGCGGTGGTGATGCTGGGGGGTGCTGTACGACCTCCTGGACTAACCCTCGGGCGGAACAGCTGGGTGAGAGGAGTAGGCGGCGCTATCCCGATTCCAGGAAGGCGGGCGTAGGGAAGCCAATGCGACGAGGTTCAGGATGATCCTCATCACCACCGAGCCCCCTGTGACAATAAAAGCTAAGCCGGGAGGTGTGATTTGAGGGGTTGTGGCTTTTTTTTTTTTTTTTTTGCTCAGCGTCGCGCGCTCCCATGTCGGCGGCGGCATCATCCGGGGAAGCATTTTGGACTCAGCTGAGTGGCTTTGCTTCCAGAGCTGACCTATAGATTCTAGGATTCACCATGTCCGCCAAGAGGATGGGATGGTTTTTTGTTGCCTGACTTGCATGCCTGCCTGTTGGACGGTCACCTGGGTGCTTTCGAGACTGACATTAGGTCTGTCTCATTTTGGGATCGTCATTGTTTTTGTGTATCAGCGCCAATGGGGGGCATAATAACAACAGGGCCGACGCTGTCTCGTTTTGGGCCTGGCGCCAAGGACAAGCGCGGCTAGGAGTTTGGAGGCTTACATGGCCGAAGCAATAGACAAAGTAGCAAATGATGGTGGCTTGTTCTGCCGCTCAAACGCACGCTTGCGCGACACCCGCACACACACACACTCACACACACACTCACTCACTCTCTCGAATCGAATCGAATCGAAATAGCTCCGCCTTGGTTTGTTCTTTCGACTGGTTGGTCCCGTGTACTTTGTGGTCCGTTCGATATCCGTCGCGCGAAACGGGCATGCGTCGGCCGTAAGTAGGCACGTTGGTACGTACTGTGAGGTGCCGAGCTGCCGGTAAGGCGACGCAGGGATTACCGTCGTACAATACCGGCCTGGGAATAAAAGCAAAGTAGCATGAACAAAGTCCCCCTGGCCGTGCGCGTCAAGTTAGCGACTTTGCTTCTCTCGCATCACACAACATTGCAAGATAAAGACCGAGCCCTGATTGCACGACGCAACAGCCGCAGCGCTACAGGGCAGGCTCTTGGCCTCCTTGTCCCAATGTGGTGTCAAGGCCCCGTCCGCCCACCAGCGACCATTTCCTTTTGCTGCCACAAACGCTGGCAGCTGCCTTGCCCGCCACATTGGACGAAACCCCTCAGCAACCCCCACCCCGCGTCATCTTTTGTGTAAGCCGGCGGCAGTTATCCGAGCCTGGTGCGAGCCCAGCGTCGTCCTACCTGCGGGAGTGTTGCCGTCGGGCTCGGTGCCAGAAAAGCTTGGCGACGAGACCCAGGCGATCCATCCCGATCCGAGTCTAAACTGACATTTGAGCGTGGGCTGTACCGTGTGGCCCAGCCGTCGTCCGGTGAGCAAAGCCCCGACGACAGCCAAGGGAGCCAACAGCCTTTGCCTGCGCCGCCCAGACCGAGCCGCACAGGACTGCTTCTCCTCTGATTCAGGGCTGCAGAGTGGTAGAGACGGCCACCCCCTGGGGAACACGCTCTTGTTGTCAGCTGACGGGCTGAAGCTTCGCCTCCATCCCCCAGGCTTCAACATGGGTGTTCAAGCCGAAATTCTTCATCTTGGGCCAGCTGTGCCTGTCCTTTCATTTTGGCCTCAGCTCGCTGTGGGGCGGGCTCCACCCCCATTGGACGTCCCGATCGTGTGGCTCACAGTGGTCCGACCAAGCCAAGATTTATTGATCTCCATCCCGCTAAAGCCCCTTGTGCCATGCAGCTCGAGGCCTGGGTCAAATTACCGAGTCTGCCCTGTCATTTTTGGTCGGTATGATTGATCGATGCGAACCGACGAAGCCACAATCCCATTGTCATCAACCAGGACCGTGCTCCTGTCTTGTCTAGCATGTCTTTTTGCCGTCGAGTCCGACTCGTTCCATGTGGTTTTCCAGGCTCTTTGACATCTTTGGTGGCTATTTCTGGATACGTGTGTGCATATGCTTCGGTTTCAGGCCTGGGAATCCCAGCGAGCATTGAACAAACACGCGAGTAGGCACCTAAGCACTGACGGGCACCACGAATATCGGAGCAAGATATCCAGGAAGGAGCTTGGAGAACCCACAGCTAGACCTCAGCTCGACGGTGCAAATAGCCCAAGGTCGGGATGAAGACGGGAGCTGACTTGCATGACCATGCGGAATATCTGGCTAAGAAAAAGAAGGAAAAAAAAGAAAAAATCAATGCAAGAAGAAGAGAAAGAAAAAAGGAAGGAAGGAGACATTCGAGCTCGTGCTGGAGAAAGTGACATCTCCCGTCAGCTTCCCGGCACCAGGCAACCGCTTCCCGCCTCTGTCTTGACCGAATGGGCGGTGGGCATGCCGCCGGCACTCTTGGCTGTTGCGCTGTACAGGCTAGACTAGTAGATGCCCGAAAGTGGGTAGCGGTCCTTTTTAGAGCACCGTTACTTGGGAAAACGGCGGCGGGGAAAGGACGGTCAAGGCAAGTTGAAGGCTGACGAGAGCAATAACAAAAAAAAAAAAAAAGGACGCCGTCGGTTCCGATTGGAGCGCCTCCGTCGTCGGGACTCGGGCTCGAGCTGCCAAGCCGGGGGCCCGCAAAGGAAGGGAACCGCGCTATTCCTAGAACCACCCCGGCTCGACGGCGAGGCAGTATTACGAGGCACGGCCCCTTGCAGGTCGCTTGCGCGTATCTTCCCCCCGACCATCCGAAACCGAATCGGCGGCTGAGCGGTATGGATAAGGCACGCTCAGATGGATGCAGGATGGACACTTGCCGGGCGGTCCCAGGGGGGGTGTTTGCTGTGCAGCCTGCGCTCCTCGCCCATACCCGTCGTCCTGCAACTTACAGGGAGGGAAAGAAAAGGAGATTTTCCCCCGACGGCTGTGCTGCAAAGCTTCGTCATCCCCTAGTCGGCAGCATCCGTGCGTCCTGTGGCCAGCAGGCGGGCACTGGCTGAACATGCGAGAGGGTCGAGAACGAGTTAGTCGTGGTCTCCATCGGCCTCGCCTCTTTGCTGTTTGCCGAAACTCGACTAGATAAGCCGACTGCCATCCAAGAAGGTGGATGTTCTTTTCACTCCGAATTCCATTCACATTTTCCTCTCGTCTGACAGGTGCTTTTGCCACGCGTCACCAGGTGGCATTCGATGTCGGCCGAACATAATATCAAATGGGATTTCGATGGCAAAGCGGATCTGCGGCACCAATACGTGGAAACTGGAGGTTTGTCCGCACCTATGTCCTATGATAACAGCTGAGAATTTTCTTCTTTTGTCTTTTTTATACACGGCCATGACCAGGTAGGCTTGTCGTTCAGTACGACGGGCCCTCATGTCCATGTCCCAGACCTATTCCCCAATACAGGGCAAGTCCCGTCCACACGTTCGACTGGATCATGCGCTCCTAGTCGTCGCGCGGCCGCGGCCGGAAAGCGCGCTGCTGGGCCATGATTGTTGGCCGTCGGTAGGCCTGGGCGTACGCCTGTTGGAGGATGGGGGAGGAATCGGAACGAATGACACTGCCGATGCCCATGAAGAAACTGTATTCGCGGTAGCCAAGCGTTAGCAGACGGCGGGACGGCTGCGCCATAGAGCCCAGAGGTGCGAGGTTCGGTAGAGCATACCCGAATGTGGTTCCCGAGGCGAGCATGTACTGCCCTATTGTCCTCATGACCCCGTTCGCGCCGGCTCCGAATCGGAAGACGGTTACGGTGCCTGTCCATCTTGGGTGATTAGCGCCCGTGCCTCGCTTACTACCCCGCGCTGCAGTTCCAGGTAGCGTGGTTGCGAGTTAGAAGTGCATACCCCAGATGAAGCCCATGATGGCACCGACAGCTTGGTGATGTTAGCCGTTTCCCACGCACGCGACCATGCGCCAGCTGTGTTCGTGGAGCTGCAGCGACGTACTTCCGCCCATCATGGCGCCCATCTTCACTGTTTAGCCCCGTTAGCCACGGCCATATGGCGCTCGGCAAGTGCTGTCTTGCTCGGCAGGGATTAGGGGCAATTTTGGCATCTTACGCTTGTCAATGTTGGACGGCCCCATGTGGCCACCCATGTTCGGCGGAGGCGGCATCTTGATCGACTGGTGATCCTAGGGCGTCGCGGGAGTCGAGAGCGTGGGCGGCAATCAGAACCGGGCGGTGGCGCAAAAAAAGGGTCTGGTATCGCAGATCACGCCATGCGTTGGTCGTGGGTTGGCATCAAGAGAGCTTCGGGAGCGAAGCTTGAGCCGTCAATGCGGGCGGCCCGAGGCTCCTCCTGGTTCTTGCAAAACGCTGTGCCCGCCCGCTCCCCCGCAACGCGTGCTGATTGGCGCGCCGTTGTTCCTGCAGAGGTCAGCCGAGCCGGGCCTTCAGCCTTTCGTTGCAGCGCGCTGTGCCCCTCTTCTCCGCCCCACACGTGCCCCGTCGTTGCAGTCGACGCACGGGCCACAAGAACTCCTTTGCGACAGCGGGCATCAAACGGGGTCAGGAGTGGTAGGCTCCCCGCAGAGTCATGAATGTCCCGTTGGCGTCTAGAAGTTTCAGGAGAGGGAGCACGAAAGGGGTTTAGAGGGACGGGTTTGGAAACAGCATCGAGGTCTTTATTACTTGCGCTGACGCTGCTTGTGTTGCTTGCTGCTTGTCGCCTCACTGCCCCGCTTGTTGGGTTTCCAGCTAGCCAATGACACGCATTCCCAGCACGGGGTTTTCGGGAGAATTCACGCGCCGATACAGGGGGTTTAAGTTTGAGCGCCTCACAAAGCCCACAGTCACAAATTGCAACTGGCCATTGTTCGTTTGTGTCCTCCAGGAGGACTCTTGGATCAGACACCTCTACAGTCAGGGAAAGGGCCTAGTTTTGCGACTTTTTTTTGGAGAAGCTGGGACGGTTCGCGCGCGCTATGAGGTGGCGACGGGCTTGTCGAATCACGACTGCAGCGGCGGGCGCTGCGCAACTATTAGCGGGTAGCGAATCGGTCAGTTGAAGCGCTCACGTGCGGGGGCCGCAGTGTCTTCTGCATTGTCTCCCACCTGCCTCCACTACGTTGCTGCGGGCATGCAGACGGCGGGCACGGCAGGAAACAAGAGACAGGCCAGGACTGGGGACGAAAAGCGAGGACGGGCGGGTTGCGTTGCTCAACCGCATGACAGCATACGGCATACAGCATACAGCAGCAGTAGCAGCAGCAGCAGCAGCCGCAGTAGTAGCAGCATATAGCAACCTGCCTTGTTTATTTAATTAGCCTTTAGGCAGTCCAACCCAACGGGCTCTTTTGCTATCCAGATCCAGTGCTTCGCCTGCTTCCATTGTCGTCATATTACCTATTGTGTACCAGATCAAAGTCCCAGAATCACAGTCCCAGAGTCCCGACAGGTACGCATCGCTGGCAGGGCAGGTTGTGTCTGCCAAGCGCTAAGCGAGACGGGGAGCCAGCCAGCAACAGCGGCTCGAATGCTCGCATACCATCACCACCACCATCCAAGTCCACCAAGTACCAAGTCCACCCCAACGTTCGTCTCTTCAATCGTCACATCGGCCCAGGCAAGTCAGCGCAGCTGGGTCCAGCTGCCATCGTCACACCTCACCGTCAGTCAGTCGCCCTTTTGAATTTTGATCCTCTACATTGCATCGCTGTGCGCCCAGCCCCCAACACTCACCGAGTCGCCCCCGCGTGCACGTTGTTAATTGCCCGTCGCCGGACGGTCTAGCCAATACACCCCTGTCGCGCCCGTGCGGGTTTTTTTTATTTTCTTTGCAGCGGTTTTTTTTTCTCTTACTGTCCTTTCAATCGACGGCCAGGCGGCTCTGTTCTGTGACACTGGGCGGGAGCCACACTGGCAGCAATTGGCCTTTTTCGATTCTCCACCCGGCTCGCCCGTGAATTTTGGACCCTCTTGGCCGCCAAAGAGTGGCCTCTTTTTTTCCTCAACTTTCCCGTCAATCAACCACGCCTGCATTATTCAACCCTCGGATACCGATACCGTCACGAAAACGTCACAGAGACGCACACGCCGACTGACTCGATTGACCCTGCCGCCTCTAGACGCACACGGCTGCTCGCTCGCCCCTCGCCCACGCGCCGCTGACCCCCAGCCGGTCCCCGACGGCGCCTGCCCACGACGACGCATGCCCCGACGACGGGCCCAGCAGTCGCCCAGCAGTCGCCCATCCCCATCGACGTCACGGAATCGCCCATCGGGAGCCCGCTCGAGATCCCTCCCCCTGCCGCGCCCGCCTGCCCGCAGCCTTCCCCATGACGGCGGTCGCGAGCCCTCCCAGTTTCGCCAACCTCAATCGGCCAGCATGGGGCTTAAATGCTAACTCGATGCACGCGCCAAACCCGCACCACCCCGACGACGCGCGAAGCATGTTCACGCCCAGGAAACCCCTCCAGCGCACGAACTCGTCGTCGTCCGTCTCGAGCAACTCGTCCGTCTCGTCCTCGACCGGCACCATCGTCAACGGCGGCCACGCATCGGGCGCGTCGGCCGTCAACGGCGACGCCAACGGCCTGTTCAAGAGGCGAGGACAGCCGCAGCAAAAGGGACAATGGTCACAGCAGCCGCAGTCCGTGCTCAAGCCCGACGGCGCTGACTTTTCAAGACCGCCCGGCGCCAGATCGGTCCAGTCCAACGGCAACGGCGCCCCGCCCCCAATGCACCAGGGCGCCATGATGATGGGCCCCCAGGGCCAGGTCGCCCAGCAGAGCGCCATGTCGAGGCCCGTCGCCGACCCCATGGGCGGCATGCAGCCCGCCGTGCAGCCCGTGCTGTACCTCCTCTCCCTCAACGGCACCTTTGAGCGCAAGACCATCTCGGTCCCCTACTACCCAGAAACCCTCCGCATCGGCCGCCAGACCAACGCGAGGACCGTTCCGACGCCCGTCAACGGCTACTTTGACAGCAAAGTGCTCTCGCGCCAGCATGCCGAGATCTACGCGGACCGCTCCTCCGGAAAGATCTGGATCCGCGACGTCAAGTCCTCCAACGGCACCTTTGTCAACGGGACGCGTCTGTCGCAGGAGAACCGCGAGTCGGAGCCCCACGAGCTGCAGACGCAGGACCATCTCGAGCTCGGCATTGATATCGTCAATGAGGACCAGAAGTCCGTTGTGCATCACAAGGTCGCCGCCAAGGTCGAGCACGCCGGGTTCCTCAACCCCACTCATAACATCATGGACATGAGCTTTGGGGACATGGACCCCACCGGCGGCCAGATGATGCTGGCCCAGATGGGGGGGATGCAGGCTAGGGGGCGGAACGGCAACCAGCCGCAGATGGGTAACAACGGTCGCATGGCCCCCGCGGCGGGCATGCCCGGCGCACAGCAGAACGGTCTGCTCCCGCGAAATGGCATGTGGATGAGCCAGCCATCTACCGAAGCCATCGTCAAGAAGTTGCACGTGAGTTATGCCGGGACACTTGGTTTCCCCATCGTGTCAAACTAGGAGACATGCCTGCCCTCATCTAACGCCCAATGTTTGATGTTGTAGCAAGAGATGCGTGCCGCCAAACTGCAGTCAAACGACCTACAGCGGACGGCGCACTTTCTTGACGCCCTCATGGGCAAGGAGGACGTCAGGATGACGGACCGCCCGGAGACCCAGGAGCCCACAAAGCAACACGCCGTCAACGGCGGCATGTTCCGATCCGAAGTCTCCAAGGCGCGCTTCTCGGACCCGCCAGCTCCCCCGCCCCAACAGCCGCTCCCCGAGAAGCCAGACGTGGCACGGCCTAATGGGGATGCGCCGCCGCTGAAACGCGGCTCGACGGAACGACCCAAGTCCCAAAGCTCCCCTGTCCGACAGGATAACCTCAGTCAAATTCTGCAGCTGACGGAAACGCTCAACTTTGCCAAGAAGGAAATCGAGGTCCAGGGGGCTCGCATACGAGACCTCGAGATGATCGCCCAGAAGGAACGCGAGGGTCGGGAAAGCGCCGAGGCCCTTGTCAGGAAGCTGGAGGATGCTGCCATGGCGCACACCAACGGTGTCGCCAAGACGAGTCTTGAGGGGGATATTTTGGCAGAGGCTTTCGAACTTCCTACCGAGGCACCGCCCCCCGCTACGACGTGCCCGAAACAGGCAATCCAAAACGAGGCTTCTCGTGCGGCCTCGCAGATGCCCGACTCGGCGGCTGCCGACGCTGCGGCCGAGGCGGCGTCCAAGCTGCAGGCCAAACTGGACGCCATCGTCAAGGAGATGAGAGATCTCAGGGATGACCTCGAGACGCAGAGGAAGCGGGCCGAAGAGGCCGAGGCCGAGCGAGATGTCGACCGCAAGTCGTTGGCCGAGATGATCCTGCAGCTTCGGCAGAGGGACGAGGAGATCAAGAGGCTGTCGGAGGCGCCCAAGGCACGGTCTCGGTCCAGCCGGCGCAGGGACCGAAACGACACAATCACGGAGCACATCAAGCCCAAGCCCTTCGTTGGGTCCTTCCCCGAGACGCCGACGACCACGGGAATTCCCGAGCACATGGAGAGCAAGGGGCCGCCGCCTTTGGGATCAGAGAGGACGAGCGTAGACCTCGCCGAGGACAAGCCTACGCTGTCGAGATCCAGCACTATAACGCCCCTGTCGAGCTCGCTCCACTCGTCGCGGGAGACGGCGGCCGTGCAGGCGGCACCCTATGCGTCCATGCTGGGCGTTGTGCTGCTCGGGGTCGGGCTAATGGCGTGGATAAACGGTTGGCAGCCCCAGCCGCAGCTCGACCGATAAGGGAGGGATCTCGCGGTTGCCCCGGTGCCACATGTCTCTCCACTCCCGATCCTCTTGTTCCCATGCTTTGCTGTCATGCTCCCTTAATAATGGCGGATGCAGGTTTCGTCACGCAGACGCCGACGAGGCCCTGATCTGCACCTGATATGCACCACTTCCTTCGATGCACATGCTTCTACCACCCCCACATGCCGCCCCAGACCCCGCGAGTCTGGCCGACCTCCCTTGCCCTGGCTAACCTAGTTACAACGGATGGGCCCCATGGATTGGGCCCTGGGTAACATGACTCTTTGGACGACGCGCATTAGAACGGCTTCGGAACGAACTTTTTTTTTTAACGCCCTGCATGCAGGATATCCGGACCAACCAACGGTCCTCCCCTCCTCCCCTATGTATCTACTACTATACGGCGACCGCTTAGCATTTCCTTGGTTTTTTTTTGTCCTTGCCATTATTCTCGTTTTTTTCTTCTGCTTCATCGGTTTCCTTTGTCGGTTTCTCTCTTCTTTAGCCTCAAGCGTTCATTCTATTGACCCTACAGCGGCATGGAAGTCCCCTTGCTAGTGTATTCAACACTCTGTACCAGTGAATAATGAATGAAAACGGGGTGAAGAAACATTTGGAGGGCTCGTTGTGCGCAGCCCCACGCCCGCCCCGAGTTTCTGTCCATGGACACCATGTTTGTCGTGCTTTTCCCCTGTGTTTAGAGTCAAATGCTTAGCTTTCTAACCATGCGCTTTTTTTTTTTTTTTTTTTTTTTTGTTTGTGGTTTGTTATTTATTTGGTGTTTTCGGCGCCTCAAGGTGCGTGGGATGACAGCTAACGGGGGGTGGGAATACATTTTCCCATCTCGACAAGACGATAGCAGTCCTTTATAAACGTAACAAAGGCAACAAGTTCCCTTGACCACTCACGAAAGCCCGTCCCAGCGAGCTTTTGCATGCCTATCTGTGTATCTCTTTATTGTCTCCTCGATGTTATCTCTTGGGGGGCCCATGTGGATGCTCCTCCACTTTGGGAGGAGAGACAGACGACGGTGCCGGCAACCGAGTCCAGCCATTGAGCTTTCGCCGCCGGTGGTACGCACAAGGCAGATGGGGCCGGGGGGAGGCTGCTCATTGAGGTCTTTTTGGTGTTGCTCGATGATAATGCGTCCGGCACCGGCCGGCCATCTGTTCCATTTTGGGGTCGCAATCTGCCACGGCCCTTGACGTCAACTCATCCCCAGCGGATCCAGATCAGGACGAGATGGAAAGGGGCGCCAAGTAGCCTGGAAAGTGGGAACGTTGATTAACGTGTCCCCATAGCTGCTTATCATTGTTGCCCTCTTTTCATTACTGAATAATGGCTTCCGTATTCCATTCCATCCCACTCGCCAGTATCCAAAGTGCAGAGATATCAAAATCCCTTATCACCTGATGAGGCGCCCGCCAATGAAATCTGCGATTGGAAATCCAGCCATATCGCTAGTGCGAGTCGTGCGACAAATGGACCCCTCTTCTCCCAATTCTTGTTTTTTTTCTTTCTTTTTTTGTTTTTCCCCGTCGGGAATTTTGTGGCATTTCCCCGACGCCGGGAACTTGCAGCGGGGACGGATGTAGACCAAGGCAGAGAGGCACCGAGGCAAGAGAATTAACGAGACGTCACTGGCCGCTCACGGGCGGTTCGAGACGAGCTAGGTAGGTCCCGGCAGGCAGGCAGGCAGGCAGCCAGCCAGCCCGTCGATCTCCGGCGTCGTCCCGTGGGGCAGGAGGAGGTGTGTGTGTGTGGTTGTGATCTCAATGTCGGGGGTAAAATGGGGGATTCGAACGACTAATGCCGAGCCCGCCATCGGCTTTCCTATTGGGTCTGGAGATTCTGGGGTGCTTTTTGTTTGCTTGTACCGTAGCCATGTATCTGGACCGGGACTCTGACTGCTTCATCGGAAAAAAAAGAAGCGAATTGGCAGAAAGAGGGGTTGCGGGACATGGGGTGGTATAAGTGGGGGGTTTCTGTCGACAAAATCCGAGCTGTGGATTGGATGGCGATAGTCCCAACTGCCTGGATGAGCAGCTGCTCTGACACTTCTGATGGCGACGGGGTATAACACCCCCACTGGAGTCCTTGATGCTAGGCCCAAGAGAGCCGATCCGGTCTGGGATACAACGTCAACCTGGAGCGAAGAGGGGGCAGCGCGGCGGGTTGGACTTGCCTATGGTAGGGTAGCGGGAGGGAGATAAGGGCGGGAATCTGCCGGGTATGGCGTCTCTGCTGATGGGGGGCGGGTAGGTGGGTGGTTTTCTGCCCGAGGCTCGGAGTGGACTCCCGGGAGAGGGGGGTATTTTGCTTGGGGGTCACTTTCGGCCACGCATACTACGTAGCACCGGCGCGCCCTTTTCCGTTGCAATATTTTCGGGACGCCTTGAACCGTCGGCCCCCAGAGCCACCCTCCCGGAAAACAGGACTGTTTTAGGAAAGACGTCGTGGGTTGCTGGCCTTGGTGATGGATATCTGTTGCTCCGCACTTGAGCGCTCGTTCCCGGTCTCGATCGGCTGTGGAATTGCGGGCTGCGGGCATATGTATGACCATGGAACCCACCGGGGTGTGTTTCTGGTTGCCGCCGTGTCCTTTTGTTTCCGTGATGTTTACTTGGCGTGCTAGCAAAACGGAGAGGCTTGTTTTATTTTCTTACAAGAGCACCATCGAGAGTCTCATACGTGCTGGACGGGCTTTCTTCATAGAGCATACCCCTGACTATCACACAAAGCACCCACCCACGGCTAGCATCGAGCCATATACCTGAGCCCCCTGCCATGTCACCCTCGGGCTCTGCGTTTCTGTACGAGCCGATGCTCACGCCGCCCGAAGAGCCGCTGCCGAAGCGGCACAAGACGCTGGCGTGTCTCCGCTGCCGGCGCAGAAAGGTGAGAGGGCAGAGAACAAAAAAAAAAAAAAAAAAGAAAAGCCCTGCTACTCTGCTTGACGTCCGTTCTAACCACGTGAGTTCTCTTAAATAGCAAAAATGCGATGAGCAGAGGCCGTGCACCAACTGCGCGAGGTCCCAGGAGACGTGCCGTGAGGTGATTCCTCGGCTGGCGGTGGTGAACAGGTGAGCAGTTCTGGCAGGCTTGTTCCTGACAAGTAGGGAAAGCCGAGTTATTTCTAATATGTCCCTCCAAAAAAAGCAGCGTCCTGCCCACGTCACAGATGCAGCCACTCTCGTCCCGGGTGGACCTGTGCGCCCTCGAGGAGCGCGTGGCCCGGCTTGAAAAGTCCCAGCGCCACGGCCGGCGGCACTGGCATCACAGGAGCGGCAGCGGCAGCACTAGCACCAGCAGCAGCCATGGTGAGGACGACATGGCCGGGCGACGTACAGGGGGGCCACACCACGCGCAGTCCTTCTCTCCAGACGCTGTCATCTCCATCCACGGCACCCCAGCGGCAGTGGCAGGGCTGGGCTTCAACCACTGGGCCGAATCCCCCGGGGTGAACGGCCGGTCCTACAACCACCACCACCACCAGCAACCGCAGCAGCAGCAGCACATGGAAGCATACAGCTCCCCTCCCCCGTCCAACAACAGCAGCGGCCTGCCGACAAACAGCGCGCCCGCCATCGGGCTGCTCGCAACGTTTGCGCGCTGCGACAACTCAACCACACAAGGCGCGGCAGCCCCAGGCATCCCACCACCCACGCCCATAGACCGAGCCACGGGGCGCGTCCTCTTCGACGCCTACCGCGCCCGCGTGCACTCGCGCTTCGCCTTTCTGCGCCTCGACACTCTCCAGGACCTAGCCCTGTCCTCCTCGTCCTCTCAGCAGCAGCAGGCGCCCTGGGTCGGCTTCTTCACGCACATGATCTACAGCATCGGGCTGCTCCTCCTCGACAACAACAACAACAGCAACCACCACCACCACCACCACCACCATCAACACCAGCACCACTACCGGCTCGCCGTGACGCGCCACCTCGGCGCCGTCTTCGCGCACCCGGACCGCGTGCTGCACGCGCAGGCGCACCTGCTGCTAGCCATGCACGCGCTGCGCTCGCCCTCGACGGAGCGCCTCGCCAGCGTCGCCGGCGCCGCGGCCCGGTACTGCGTCACGGCGGGGCTGCACCTTGAGCCGTCCGAGGAGGACGAGGAAGAAGAAGAAGAAGAAGAAGAAAAGAGGAGGGACCCGGCCATCCGGGCGCAGGTCCGCAGGCGCGTCTTCTGGTCCGCCTACGCGCTGGACAGGGCCGTCGGCGCCGCGCTCGACCTGCCGCCCGCCGTGCCCGACGCCCACGTCACGGCCGAGCTGTACGCGGCCGTCGAGGACGACGAGCTGGGGGCTGGGCAGCGGTGGGCGGCGGCGGCGGCGGCGGCAGAAAAGCGGCAGGGGGAGGAGGAGGGGGACCGGTGTCGACGGCGCTGCGGCTCGTGCGGTGCCTGCGGGTCGCGGGCGAGGTGCTCGACGCCAGGCTGCGCCGCCGTCGGGGGGCTGGGGAGGAGGAGTCTGAGCGGGGGTTGTTGTTGCGAGTGCAGGACGTGGTGGACAGACTCGACTCCTGCGTCGGCGGCGGCGGCGGCGAGGCAGCAGCGCCCGCGTGGCTCCTGTCGGCCCGCGACGCCACGCTGGCCATGCTGCTGGGGCTGGCTCCTCCTCCGCCCACCACCGACATCAGCAGGAAAGCCGACGACAACAACGAAACACCTGCAACCGCAGACAGCAGCGCTGACGACACAACAACCCCCACTCCCGACCCAACATCCCCAACCGAACCCAAAACCTCAGCCCCCCCTCCTCCCGCAGCACCAACAGCAACACCACCACCACCACCATCACCGCACCCAGACCGCGTGGCCCTCAACGCCTGCTCCCGCTTCTGCACCGACCACCGCCGGCGCTGCTCCCGGGCCGGCGGCGACGGCGGCGACGACGACTGGCTGGCCCTGATCGTGCAGTTCAAGTGCGGCGTCGCCCTGCTACACGCATCCACCACCAACACCAACACCACCAACACCACCACCTCCAGCTCCCCCGCACCGGCCATCCGCGCCTGCGCCGCCGCCCTCGCCAGCCAAGCCGAGCGCTGGCCGCAGGCCCGGTGCCTGCGCGACGTGTTTGCCGCCCTGTCCGGCATCCCTCTGAGCGGCAGCGGGCCGACGACGACGACGACGACGCGGAAGCGGAAGCGCGTCAAGCTCGAGCCGTCGCCGCCGCTCGCCGCCGACCCAGCAACAGCAGCAGCAGCAGCAAACCAAGGCAGCAGCATCAGCGGTACGGGTTCATCGGACGCCAGGGAGTTCGTGCGGGCGCAGCTCCCCGCCGTGGCCGCCGTCGTGGTGCACCGGCCGACGCTGCGCATGGTGCGGGAGCTGGCCGGCAGGGGGCAGCAGGTTCCGGCACGGTTGTTGGAAGAGGAAGAGGAAGAAGAGGAGGAGGGGGACGACGCGGTCGAGATGTACGACGCCCTCACCCCCGCCGCCTTCTTCCTGCCCGAGCCGCCAACAACAACGCCCGCGAGGCGGGACTCGCGCTACGACTACCTCGACTTTGGCGAGCCCGACGACGCGAGGCCCTGGTTCGACGACGGCGACCCGTTTCGGGTTTCTGCGTAGAGTACTGCGGTTCATGTGAGAATTTGATTGTAGATCATCCATCTTCTTGTCCATGGTCAACAAGCGCCAAGTCTTTCGTTCTGGCATCGTTGAAGCCTTCACAACATTCATGCCTATTCCTTTGCGCGTCTAGAAATGCCCATTCTCGACCAGATGCGACCAAATCCAGCCAGACGTGAACGGGCAAGCTGGCTGCAATCAGGTACTCGGCAGCGAGAGAAGGTAGATACGTGGTACGTAGCTGGCAGAGACCCGAGCGGGCAGGGACCAAAGCACCTCAAGTCACAAGTCAATTGTGACATACTACGGTTGGCAAGGTATCAGTCCTTCCGCGACCCAAAGCCATGCCACGGCCCATCTTTGAATGCCTCATCCTCCCATCGCTTGAGCGGGTCGTATCCTTGCCGATCATGCTCCTCCGCGACCGCCTCTCTGATCCGGGCGAGGGACGGCCCATGGCCTGGGCGCTGCGCCTGTCAAATGTGCGTGTTAGTGTAAGAGGCCCTGCCCCTTAGAGCTGCTGTGGGCGGTGTGTGGTCTTACCGTGGCACCAGAGACCACCGTGGTACTTGATGGGACGACGACGACGACAGTCCCGTCGGCTGGGCCGGTGTCCCGCTTGACGGGTTCGCCCGAGTGGTTGGCCGTGTTTGACATGGTGTCAGGCGCCGGAACGCACGTGTGTAGTGGGAGCTGGCACACCGAGGGGGGAAGGGGGGTCCGTAGGATGTATGAGTAGGAAGGGGGAAAAGCCGGTGACGGGCTGCCTGGAAACTAATGGCGTGGACTTACAGGAAGCCGTGTTGGTCTGGGAAGGGGAGGCCATCGTGCTTAATAAATAGGCGACGGGGAAAGATGGGTAGATAGAGAGAGAGAGAGAGAGAGAGAGAGAGAGAGAGAGAGAGAGAGAGAGAGAGAGAGAGAGAGAGAGAGAGAGAGAGAGAGAGAGAGAGAGAGAGAGAGAGAGAGAGAGAGACGAGAGAG